CCCCGTGTGGGGACAAGGGTGGGGGGCTCTCACCGGGGCTCCGGCATGCTGCTGGGGTCAGGGTGCCAGTAGGAGTAGTACTCGACGATGTCCAGCTCCACACCCTTCTTCCCTGCCAGCTCCTGGGACACCGTGGCCAGCCCATCCTGCAGCCCTGGGGATGGGAGTGTCAGGGGGGTCTGTTCCCCCTGTACCCCACCATCCCTGTTCCCAGTGCCCCTGTATGACCCCAGTGTCCTCCTCAGTGTCCCCAGGGCCTACCTGCAACACCAGCCTCTATTCCCAGCGCCCAAATCCCTGCTTCCAGCGTGCCCAGTACCCCAATCCCGCTCCCATCATCCCCAAGTCCACCCCCAGCACTCGCAGTGTTCGCAAGGACCCACAAATCTAGCTGCAATGCTTCCCAGTGCCTCCAGCATCCTCAAGTCCAGCCCCAGTACCCTCACTGTCCCCCAGGACCCACAAATCCAGCTGCAATGCTTCCCAGAGCCCCAGAAACCCCAAGTTCAACCCCAGCACCCCCCACAGGACCCTGCTTCCAAGGCACCCAGCAGTGCAATTCCCTGCTGCTCCCCAGCACCCCCAAATCTCACCCCAACATTCCCCGCTGGTATCACCCACCAAACCCCCATGCCAGCACACCAAATCAGGCCTCCAGTGCTCCGCAGCACCCAAACACCCATCCTCAATGTCCTCCAGCACTCCCAATCCCCTCCACCAGTACCTCCCAGCTCCTCCCTGCCTCCACCAGCTCTCCCTGGTGTCCCACACTCCCAGTGCTGCCCAGTCCCTCCCTAGGATGTCCCCAGGCCACCGATGAGGGTGAAGGCGGCGTCCCAGCGCAGGCAGCCAGGGGTCTCCAGCAGCGCCCGGTACGCGCCCAGATCCCGGTAGAACGCCGCCTGCGTGTTCCAGTACCCATCGTTGGCCGGCACCTGGGGGCACCCATGGCTGCTCTGAGCACGCTTGGCACGTGCCAGGGCACCGTGTCACCCCCCTCCTGCAGCGCCCCATGTCCCCACTGGCCACCTCTCCACTGGGCCGGGCCAGCACTGCGCCAAATTCGGGCCACTTGTCCACCAGCACCTCGAACTGGCCAGGGTTGCCCCGGTTGATGTTCAGCACTGCCCCGAAGACCTGGGGGAAAAGGGGGTCAGCCATGAGGGACAAGGAGGGGACAGATGGGGGTCAGGGATGGGGGCTTGATATGGGGGCAGTGTGGGGTCAGAGCTAAGGGGAGGGGGGCAGGTGTGGGGAACAGGGCAGCAAAAAGGGTCCCTAATGACACAGGGGTCCCCGTCACCAGCAGGGGTGGTATTGGGGTCCCCATCACAGCAACAGATGAGTGACACTGGTGTCCCCGTCATGGCACAGGGCAGGGGTGACAGCAGGGTCCCTGTGACTGGCAGGGTGGGGGTGGCATTGGTGTCCCCATCGTGGCACAGGGCAGGGGTGACAGCGGGGTTCCTGTGACTGGCAGGGTGGGGGTGGCATTGGTGTCCCAGTCATGGCACAAGGCAGGGGTGACAGCAGGGTCCCTGTGATTGGCAGGGTGGGGGTGGCATTCGTGTCCCAGTCATGGCACAGGGCAGGGGTGACAGTGGGGTCACTGTGACTGGCAGGGTGAGGGTGGCATTGGGGTCCCCATCGTGACACAGAGCAGGGGTGACAGTGGGGTCCCCATCACCGGCAGGGCAATGGGCAGGCTCTTCCTCAGGATCCCCTCCAGTTGCTGCAGATGGGCAGAGCACGTCAGGATCTTCATTGTCCTGCTGAGAGACCCTCAGTAACAGGGGGACAGGGCCACCAGGCATGGCCCCTGTCCCTGTCCCCATCCCTTTCCCCATGGCCCCCATCTCCTCCAGCACTCACCCTGCAAGAGTCCTGAGTCTGTGGGTTCCAGGGGGCCGTGGAGTGGGAGACTGGAGACAGTGTGGCGCTTGGTGACAATGGTTACCGCAGCTGTCACGGGCCAGCGAGTGCCCCCTGCCTTGGGGGGCAGCGGGCAGGGTCCATCCTGCTGAACACTGGGCACTGGGCCAGCCCTGTGGCCACCTGAGGACGGGTGCCTGTCTGGGACACTCTGGGAAATCACCCCAGTGCCACCAGCTCCCCACGGATCCTTGGTGTCCCCACCTGCCTCACGGTCACGAAGCCATGCAGATCCTGAGGTGCCCAGCCCAGCTGCAGCTCCTGGAGGAGACCCTGCGGAAGAGCCTGCCCACCACCCTGCCGGTAACAGCCACCCCGAGGCTCCCTCTGTCTCCTTTGCCCTGTCCTGCTGGTGACAGAGTCCCTGGGGATCCCTCTGTCCCTCTGTCCCTCCCTCTCTGTCGGTGGTGACGACTCTGGGGTCTCCTTTGTCCCCTCACCCTTGTCCTGTCAGTGCTGCTGATTCCCGGGACCCCCCTGTCCCTGTCCCCCGTCCCCTGCCTTGCCAGTATGAGGACCCTGGGACCCCTCTGCCTCCCCATGTACCCTGGTGGTGACAAGGACCCCTGTGTCCCCTCTCCCCTGCCCTGCTGCAGACAGACACCTTGGGGTCTCTGCTGCTCCCTCTCCCCTGCTGGTGAGGGACCACAGGGACTCTGGGCACCCCTGTGTCCCCTCCGCCCTGTCCTACAGGTGACAATGACCTTCCATGCAGGTCCTGGGGACAGTGATGACGGTGGCCAGGGGGAACCCGGCCTCCCACGAGGTGCTGGTGGACTCCTGGCCCAATTTCAGCATCGTCCTGACCCGCCTGCGCCCAGAGGTGCTGCCCTGGGTGCTGCCCCTGCCCTGGCAGCAGCACCCCACACCCCAAGGGCCTGGGAACTGGGGTGCCACCCTCAGCTCCATGTCCCTCCCAGGACCACAGGGACCCCAAGGACTACTACACCAACCAGCTGTCCGTGTTCTACCGGGACAAGGGAGCCCTGCAGGCACTGCTGGAGGGCACTGAGGCCGTGACCCGGGAAAGAGCCTTCCAGATTCTGGGTAAGTATGGCACTGGGAGGACACTGGGCTCCTCTGCCCTCCATCTGGCTCCCCTGTCTGACTGACAGGGTGTCCCAGGGATGCAGGATGGGCTGGACCAGGCCGTGCAGGAGGCGGCCAGTGCCAGGGGCTTGAAGGTGGAGATGATCCAGTACCGGGCACTGATGAGCCCTGAGCCCCCCCAGCCCCGCAAGCAGTGAGTGAGGGGCACTGGGGGCACAGGGGACACTGAGGGGACAGGGGGCTCTGGGGGCACATGGGCACTGAGGGACCAGTCACATCCCTGGGTGGCACACGGAGACCTGTCACATTTCTGGGTAGCACAGGGGGATCATAGTCACCTCTCTTGGTGGCACAGCAGTCTCCAAGCACCTCCCTGACAGGCATGGGGTGACATGAGTGGGATCACTAAGCACACCCCTAGGTGGCACAGGGGTCCCTGAGCACTTGCCTGAGTGGCACAGGGATCACTGGGTGACATGAGAGGGATCACTGAGCACACCTCCAGGTGGCACAGGGGTCCTCAGTCCCTCTCCTGGGTGTTATGATGGTCTCAGAGTCCATCTCTGGGTGGCACAGGGGTTCCCAATCCCATCCCTAGGGGAAACAAGGGTCCCAAATTCCATCCCTGGGTGGCATAGGGGTCCCTGAGCACTTGCCTGAGTGGCACAGGGGTCACTAGGTGACATGAGTGGGATCACTGAGCACATCCTTGGGTGGCACAGGGGTCCCCAGTCCACTCCTAGGTGTCATGAGGGTTCCAGATTCCATCCCTGGGTAGCACAGGGGTCCCCAATCCTACTCCTGAGTGGTATAAGGGTCCCATATTCCATCCCTGGGTGGCACAGGGGTTCCCAAATCCATCCCTTGGGGAAACCAGGATCTCATATTCCATCTCTGGGTGGCACAGGGGTCCCCAATCCTACTCCTGAGTGGTATAAGGGTCCCATATTCCATCCCTGGGTGGCACAGGGGTTCCCAATCCCACCCCATCTGCCATCCCAGCTGGAACCAGCGTTCAGCATTCCCCCCTCTGCCATGCCCTGTTGCAGGATGCCCCCGGGCCTGCGCCTGGCGCCCGTGTCTCCATCCCACATCTCTCTGCTCAACGCCACGTGGGCGCTGGGGGGCAATGCCCGCAGCCGGGCGTTCCTGCTGGGGCTGGTGCGGGCACTGCCCTCCGCCTGCCTGCTGGGCCCGCGGGGCCGCCCGGTGTCCTGGAGCCTGCTGGACGGGCAGGGCTGCCTGCGCCACGGCTACACCGTGCCCGCCTGGCGCGGCCGCGGCCTCACCGGGCTCCCGCTGAACGCGCTGGGCCGGGAGCTGCACGCCCGCGGCTTCCCCATCTACTGCGCCGTGCTGCCCCACAACACGGCCTCGCTGCACGCCCTGCAGGCCATCGGCTTTGAGCCCCAGCCCGGAACCTTCCACATGATCCTGGGCACCCCCAAGTAGTGCCCAGGGAGGGGAGTGCCTGTCCTCAGGGTGGGGTTACCTGAATCCCCACCCTGCGAGAAAGGGGAACACCCCAATGCCCACACTTGGAGCCCTTCACCCTGATTCCTGCTGATGGCACTGACGGGAGCAGCCCAAATTCCACACGGAGCCGTGACCAGGGTGCAGCACGGGCGAGGCGGGGGGCTGGAGAAAGGCTTTTATTCGTTCATACAAGAATAGATCTTCTGCAATAAATACCCCAATAAATAAACATCTCCAATAAATAAACACTCACAGACGCACCGGGACAGCGGCCGCGCCCCACGGCCTCGCCCCACCGCCCATCGATGGGCACCCATGGGGAGGCGGGGCTTGGGTCAGGGGGCGGGGCCTGCGGCGGGGAGGAGGCGGGGCTTGCTACACAGGCGAGTGGGAGGGGCTTATTGCCGTATGGGGCGGAGCCTATTGCTCCGGGGGCGTGGCTTGCTGCTGGCTGGGGAGGGGGTTATTCCTATGCTCAGAGCGCGTTGGTCCTTTTTGGGATGGGCGGGGTTTTCACCCACTCTGGAGATTTTAGGGATGGGGACAGGCACACTGGGGCTTGGGGACCATGGAGGGGCACGTGAGAGTCAGGACACCTGTCCCTTAAGACACAACCTAGTGACGGAGGGGCTGCGGGGTGACTGTGGTGGCACTTAGGGGTGAGGAACCCCACCCCTTAAGGCACAGCTGGGTGGTGATAAGGATATGGGGTGGCTTTGGCAGCACTCCAGGGTCAGGAGACAGTTTTGAAGGGACACTGGTTGTGAAGAGGGGACATGGAGTGGTTTTGGTGACACTTGGGGTCAGGAGATGCATCCCATACAGCAGAGTGTGGTGACAGAGGGGATGTGAGGTGGCTGTGGTGGGTGGCACTTGGGGTCAGGAGCCCCTGACTTAAGGCACCATGGTGAAAGTGGGATTGTGAGGTGGCTGTGGGGGCACTTGGGGGTCAGAAACCCTATTTCTCAAAGCACCCTGGTGGTGGACAGGGAACACCGGGTGGCATGGTGGCACTTGGGGTCAGGAACCCTGTTCCTTAAGGCACAATATGATGATGATGATGATGATGATAATGGAGGGGCGGCAGGGTGGCTGTGATGACACGTGATGTCAGGAGCCCCATCTTTCAAGGCACTGCCAGGTGATGATGAGGTTGTGGGGTGGTTTGGGGTTTGGAGCCCCATTTCTCAAGGCACACCAGTGGTGGAGAGGGGACCTGCGTGGCCGTGGTGGCACTGGAGCCCAGCAGGTGCTCAGAACCCCCTCGCCTCCAGCCGTAGGGTGACCACAGCGGGCGGCACCTTCTTCTTGAGGCGGTTGAAGTCCTTGGCCGAGCGCCAGAGCCAGGTCTGCAGCTCCTTCAGCAGCCAGAAATCATCCATCTTCTTCA